TTCACCTTAATTAAGAAGTCTTTAATATCCGACAGAGCAAGACCTTGTCTCATAATCCTATGTTCTGTAATAAAGAATGACATGCAATTCCTGTTGCCTTGAAAGATACAGTGACCAAATCTTTCCTGTAGTAATACAATTCCTGTTTAGTAAGTATAAGCCTGAAGTAATGCAATTAATATAATTCACCTTGAGGAGCTGTGCAAACAAGGAGTATTATAATTCATACATAGTAGGTGTAATCCTTAGTCAAATCCATTAATATAATTCATGTTTGATAGCTGTAAAACTCCATGAGAAAAGCAATTAATATAATTCAGCTTTTGGAGCTGCATAATCCAGCAGTAAACTAGATGTAACTGGATATCTTTCATGTTTAATAGGGGTATAAGCTAGCAGAAATATAACTGACAAAATTCATGTACAGCAGCTGTGAAAACCAAATGTAATGCAATAAATAAAAATTTTGATTAGGAGACAGTAAACTGCAAGTAACACACTAAGGGGTGTATTTATAAACGATCCGCAAAACTATTTGTCCTATGAAACTCTGTGAACGTTTAGTCTGGGCAATAGAGGAAAAAACAAATGTTTTTAGTATATTATCTTTTCAAGTGTAATGTATTATAACAAAATACCACATTATGGCCACTAGATGGAGCTGATGGGCATAGGAAATAAACACTTTTTGTCTACGCTCTTCATCTCCATCTAGTGGCCATAATGTGGTATTTTGTTATAATACATTTCACTACATTTCCCCCTCACCCACCCACACAACAGGCAGAATCTGCCTAGCTTGCTTGGGACAACACATAGACCAAGTGACATTACTGGGTTTGAAATAAGGTATGTGATGAAAACTAAAAGGTTTCATTTAAAAAAAGTAATTACTATGTTTATGCTTTATCAATCCTACATAGTGTTTATTAGTGGACAGGTGTTTTGGGTTATTATTGCAGTGTATACCTTTTTATGTGACTTTTGACATTTCTGCAACTCTCCCTTTCCTTTTTGGATATTTCATGTAGAGCAGAACAGATTAGACCCTGCCTAACTGCTGTTGATAAAAGTATGAGCTACATAAATAGTGCGTTGTTTTTAATGAGTCAGCCAGAGCCGTAGCTAGCTACTTTTGCGTCCGAGGCAAGAACAAATAAATGTGCCCCCGCAACAGGTGTGTGACGTCACCCAACGCCGAGCACGCGCTGCGTCATGTGACATCCTGCGCCCCGCCTCCAGGATATTTATTTTATTATTTTCATTTTTTTTGCTGTTGGGGGGACTTCGGTGAAATATCAGTGGTCCAAACATCCCCCTGACATTTTCCTTTTACAATAGAAAAAGAAATTGAGGATACATATTTCTGCAGCTTCTGTTCTAACTGAATGGAAAGTCCCATTCATTCAGAAAATATTTACTATCAACCAGTTTGTGAATGGGGAGAAGCCTCTGTACTGAGTGTTACTACCCATTCAGAAACTCATTAATGAACAGGAAGTGATGTAAAGCATTTCCTGTTCATTCACAACTGGGGACACATAATACTATGTATCCCCAGTTGTTTACAAACAATGGAGTGATCACCTGATCACTCCAGTGTTTTGTTTTGCACAAAGAGGATCGGTAAATATCACTGATATTTACTGATCCTCCACTCTCCATCCTAAACCGCACGGCCATGCACAGCCTGCAGCTTCTTCTCGAATCCCTGCAGCTCTCCCCCGCCTGTATGGGCAGAGGCAGCAGGGATCCGAGGAGAAGTAAAGCGCTGAAGCCGGCAGGGTGCAGGGCAGAGGAGGGAGCTGTCACTTCAGGATGGCCGAGCGGTGGAGAGAGAGAGCTGCCGGCTGTCAGATCCTGGTTGAGCGGCTCTCTCAGTCACCTCGCCCTAGCTACGGCCCCGGAGTCAGCTAACTGATAGACACTGATTATTAGAAGGAGCAGTAAAGCAAAACCATGAATTACCACTGAAAAGCAAGATAGGGTTTTTGTTTTTTTCAATGATAGACAGTAATGGGATTACTTACACTGACTGGATCTCTTTTTCATGTACATCTAAAAATCTTACAACAACTCTAACTTTAAAGTCTCATAGAGCATTTTTCTCCACTCAAAGTCATGGTTTTCCTATAAAAACACATGGGAACTTTGCTCTTTCTATTGTCTGACAATTCATATGACTAATGCAGAGGAATTTTGCTCAGTCTACACAAAATGCATTTCATCTGTTATGTGTAATCAGGGAGGGACTCTAACTAAACCTTAAAATTCAGAGCATGGCGGCATTCTTTGGAGGAAAGAAGCAGTCACTAAAAGCGAATTAAATTTTACTTCTTTGTTATCCCTCCTCCTTCATTTCACTAAAACAATTTTTTCACTTGTTTACTTTTTTTCTTTGCTCCACCCTGTTTCCATTCTCGCCTAGGCGAGAATTACTTTAGCTCTGCTTCTGTCACCTCCTGGGATATCCTTGTCCGATATTATCCACAACAGTAAAAGAGATGATTATTTCTTTTTATTTTTAAGAGAGGTGAAGTTCTATTTTAAATATACACTGCATGGCCAAAAAACAGTCACACACTCTAATATTTTGTTGGACCGCCTTTAGCATTAGTTACAGCACGCATTCACCGTGGCATCATTTCCATAAGCTTATACAATGTCACAACATTTATTTCCATCTAGGGTTGCTTTAATATTTCACGATCTGATAGTGATGATGGGAGAGTCAGACTACTGTGTAAAGTCTTCTCCAGCACATCCCAAAGATTCTCAGTGGGGTTAAGGTCTGGACTATGTGGAGACCAATCCATGTGTGAAAATTATGTCTCATGCTCCTCGAACCATTCTTTAATAATTTGAGCCCGATGAATCCTGGCATTGTCATTTTGGAATATATCTGTGCCATCAGGGAAGAAAAATCCATTGATGGAAAAACCTGGTCATTTAGTATATTCAGGTAGGCAGCTGACCTCATTTTTTGGGGACGCAACCTTGCTGAACCTACACCTGACCAACTGAAGCAACCCCAGATCAAAACACTGCCTGAAATCTATGGGGTTTTCTTTTTTTGGCCAGGCAGTGTATGATTATTATTATCATTATTTTTATACAGAATTTATATAGTATCAACAGTTTGTGCAGTTTGGGCAGCGCTTTACAAAATATATGAAGAGAGTACAGATACAATACAACCTCATACAAGAGGATTAGAAGAAATATGTTTAGCCTTCTGATTTTAAATTTTCAAACCTAAATTTCTACTTCTTTACTCCATTTTCTTAAGGTAAGGATTTACGTACTATAAATAGTCATTTTTGTAAGGCATGTACACACATTTGTAATCTATGCACAGCTTCCTAGGATGTATTCCCTACAACTCCCTGTAGATGTCTCTCTCATAAAAGTGCTTTCATCTAGCTAGGCTGCTTGTGCACTGCTAGTGCTGATGACGGCAATCAACAACCCCCTCCGCATATACTTCTCTCATTCCAAGGGCGCCACTTTGTATATGAATTTTCAGCATTTGGTAGAATTGTTTATTAAAATATCTACACAGGATATTTCAACTATTCCCAAAACTGACTTCACATTTACATGATGTTGTGTTTATATGAGAAAGGTGCAGCGATGGATGTCAGTATTTGGAACATTTCAGCTACTATGTGTAATTATAATGAGGGGTTGCTCCTGAGTTTCATTGTAAAAGTACAGCTGTACCCTCTCTCCGCAGCACCAGGCGATGTATACCTGGGCTGGTAGACAGTTTTCCCATTATTCTCTATACTCCCAGAGCCATGTCTGCACACTACAGCAGACAGGTTGTAAACACTGCCTGGCACAAAGCTAAACCGCATGGTATCGGAGGTCTGTGGGTAGCATTTACATCTTTAGCTTGCCATGCACAAGTCATCATTTCTCAGTGTGAATGGGGGAATCTCCCCTGCTGGGCTTTTGTATTCTGACAGCCGGAACACAGAGCTGTCAGAATACCAGAACAATGACTACAATGCTTGCAGTCACTGTTCGAATGACAATTTTCCTCCCTACTCCTTCGTCAAATGTTAATTGAAAAATCGACTTTTGTCAAGTGGAGTGATGCTGGCGGGACCACACAGAATTACAATTTCAGCAATTTGAACATCACCAATCACATGCAAATTTCAAAAGTTAAATTTAAACATAGTTGCTTTCAGGAACTTCATTGCAATGGCACTTTTTATATCAGACTTTCTACACATGAGAAGCAGCAAAGATGGTGTTTCAGTATGATTAGCTGGTACATTCCAGGATCACCAAATTTTATAGACAGATTAAAAACTGATTGGTTGCTTTAAGAGGTCTCTTAGTACTGCCTCTTTGAACATTAAATATTCTGGTGTAAAGGCAACAAGGAGGGTACTCTAGCACAGCATTTCTCAGCCTTTTTTCAATTACAGTACCATCCAAACAAAAAACAATACCAAATACTCATCCTAGACAGAGGTCTGGTATGGATTTTAAGGGGGGACCCCAGGCCTTCGCATCAGAGTCTGCTCTTTCACACCACAAGCCCCTTTAACATCAGAGTGCCCCCTTTAAACAAATTGAAGACATCCCTACCAAAGCCAGAAGGCACCCTGGGGTGCCAAGGCACCCTGGTTGAGAAAGGCTGCTCTAAATTAATTAGCAGGTACGTTCCAGGATCACAATTTATAGACATTTGGGAATAGGGTAGAATGGTTCAATGTGGCAAACACTGAATGAAAACCTAAACTACTCAGGAAGTGGGCTGCATTCCTTGCACTCCATGTATGCATTTTGAGGTTTAATCTTCAGTTGTTACTGGAGTGCACTTTTCAGGGTACAGCTAAACAGTTTGGTACTTCCATGTTTTCTACAACCTTAACATAGTATTTCTGTTACAGTGACAAGATGAAACAACCTTACATATTTATTCCATATGCAGCTGCATACCATGTCTACTCATTGCTTAACCACTCATATACTATACTCACAAAGAAGAATCTTGGAACATTTGCTGCTAGCCTCTCAGTCTTCAGCTCCCACGTCACAGGCTGTGGGGAGTTTAAGATGAACACCAGAGGTTTCTGATGAACTGGGATTGTTGGGATCGGGGTCAAATGCAACGTGACCTGTAAACAAACATAATGAAACAAGATTAGGACATGTATTTTCCAACCCCGTGAAGAGCTGCACACACTGGCACAGCTGCTCTGACATCAATAACAGATATTCATAAGGCACTGTATGTACCGTGCAGCAATGAGTTACCCCATAGACATAACATGATTGTTGCCTGATCTAGTGAGTTACAGTCACATTGGGAAATAGTTGTATGCTATTATCAATCAGGGATGAGGCCACAGCCAGGGATGTCTGTTCCATGCATAAACATACACAAGTGGCCAATAATGGACATACTAATATCACAGTTATACTAAAATCAGCAACGCTAACCATCTAATGTCTATTGCTACCCTAAAGTGTAATTAAAGCTAAAATCTTTTTTCTTCATTTTTGGATTGTGAACTGGAATTGAAAGTGAAGGAAAATTGAAAATTCAGAGTTGTCAAGAGAACAGGAAAAGAAGGGATATCTTCCAATTGGGACACTAGACCCATTATCCACTAAGAGGGGATTTGCCACACTTTGGAGAGCTCTCCTCTAACATTCCATTCTATCTACGGGATAAGAAGTGATACACAATCTCTTATATAAAACAAAAAGATAATAAAAACCTAACAGGGGTTCTATCCATTCTGTACTTTTTTTTTTTTTTTTTACTGCTTTAGTTATACTTTGACAGATCTGGTGCCTTATATGGAGTAAAGTCTGGACTCTTTATCTGCAGGACTCTCCAGGTCAGTGACTCAAAGTCATTGATTCAGCAGGACCTAGTATCTTAAAAAGGAATGAACTGCAACAATATTCTCCATACTTCCCAGCACAGTTTTCTTCTAAGGAACACCTGTAAAACCCAAATTAAACAGTGGGTTAAATTCAGTGTAAAGGGCGCTATTATGGGCCATGTCACTCTAGGAATCTTTTGCTGGCAGAAACTCACCAGCAACAGGATCACTAAAAAAGCAAATAGGACAAGACACTTACCTGCACCTACCACATCAGTCCCTCACATGCCAAACCAGTGAGATGTTGCTCCTCCATTGCCAACAAGCCACATTCTATTTTAGCCAGTAAGAGAGCAATGCAGTAGAAACAGGCGAGTTAAGTCTTTAGCGATCCTGTTGCTAGTGAGTTCCCGCCAGTGGTAGGAACACTAATGGAACATGGCTCTATGTCTACCTAGGACTACACCTACTACGGTTCAGAAAAAAGATGAACACTTATATCATTTTAAGTACTCGTTTAACACCAAATATGTACATTTTGATCCACTAATGGGCTCTTTGAACTTGACTTCAACTTGATTTTACAATGAACACTTTAGCCTCATAGTTCATGTTTGGAAATGTCAGATCTGCTAATTAGTAAGTATTTAACCAGTGGCCTGCCATGCCCTGCATTGTTCCTCATTAGGAACATAACGGGTAAGCTGTGAAGCTTTTCATACATCAGTTTCAATGTAGCAAATTCCTTAATTTCAACAAAACTTCATGCTTTAGTAGCAGAGGGTTAAAATGTCATGTATGGTGAATGGGACCATTGTACAAAGATCCAGAGTGTCAAGCTGACACACAGGCTTCCGTCCACTGCACACGCATACACATTTACAACTGTACTTTCAGCAAACCATGAAAGCCAACCTCAAGGCCCTCATTAGAGTACACAGGACTCCAGGACTCTACAAAGCCCTATCTCTTCACATCAAACAACTTATTCCAGTTAAAATCCTGAATTGTCAGCACTGAGCATGACAAGAAGTAATAGATGGAATGTATTACACAGGTATTTATTTTCATCAGTAAAGCTTTTAAGTAAGTAGACAATGTACAGATTGCCCATTATAAATACAGAAAAGATGAATGGAAATATGCATAGCATAAAGAGCTGTTTTTGCATGTAAAGCACAGCCTACAGATTTATCACTATACAGTCTTACAGGAATGATGGTTTTAAACCAACTTGCTGTGCTATCAGAAACTCTTATCACATCATGTGCGAAATGCATTTTAAAGTGGTGAATAGCAATCCCAGCATACTTCTCTAAACAATTTAAAGGGTTTTCTACGGAGAGCAAAAATGTGAATGGAGCTCATCATTCCTTCAATTGGCAATGTAGAACAATTTAAAAAAAAATTGCATCCAGTTTCAGTACAAAACTAGTACTACAGCCTGATCACTCAGATGTAATTGCACCCCTTGTGTTCTTTGATATATGAAAGGTCTGGTGGTCTGCCAAGCAGATGTAAACAGCAGCAGGGCCAGGATCCCAATGGGGCTGCATTTGGTAAAGACCATTCCTTGATATTGCAGATGCATCGTCATGATAAACTTTATATTTGAAAACCAACTAAAAGCCCCCAAAGTTTATCTAACCCCAAACACCTAAGTCCAGCTCTAAGCTAAAATGTGTAGTAAAAAGCAGCACTAGCTCCAGTACTTAACTCCTCTTCTTTCCTGTAATTCCTTTCTGCTACTAGAAACCTAGAAGACTAGGTCACCATGATGCCCTGCACTCACATACAATGATGCAGAGAGCTCAATGCATCATTTATGACCGCCTAGTGTTGGAAAAGAGGAAAACAGGAAGAGAATTCTGTACATGACCAGCCTGATGACATCAGAAACAGGTAAGTGGGGGAGGGAATGAGCCTGGAATTGGGCTTTAAACCAAGTATGTTCTTGCATGTGTCCCTGTCTGTGTCAAAAAATGTGTCCTTTTTTATATTTTCTGATTTTAATTAAATCTTCCTTGGTGATCCAATGGGTAGTGCATTAAAAACGCGAAAGAGGATTTAACCTTTCCTCCCTCCATATAAAAACAAAAACAGAGATTTGGCTTGGGTTTTTCTTTAAAAATCCTCAGAACTGTGGGAGCTGACACAGTTCGTGGGCTGGAGTAATATTAAAGCTTATCTCCAGCAGACATAAAGAAAACATCAATCATGCAGTTATTTATTCATCAAAATCATGATATTTAAAGACAATTACTTAGGGCTAGTTCACACCAAGTGCGGAGCAGATGCAGAACAGACAGTTACAGAACGCAACAAAAATGCATCCAATGTATTCCAATGGTATTTTGGGCTCTAGTTCACACCACAGCGTTCAGTTCCAGAGCCCCCCCCATATTTTTTTAACGGCCTGGAATGCGGCAAAAACGCAGCAAAATGAACTGCACTGCATATGCAGAAACTCTGGTCCGGATTTGGTGTGAACAAGCCCTGAAAAACCTGAATTTGACCTGATAATTCCATGTACAGAGGAGGGTCAGCACTAGCAGACATTCAGACATGATGCATGCACATGCACTGATAGGAGAGGTCAGTCTGCTGTTGCTCCATCAAAGTAACAAGATGGAGACTGGAAGGTGACCTAGCTTTATCTTTTAACTGCTGCAAAGAAAAGTCAGGTCACCAGCCTGGCTCTGCAGTCTGGTAAGGTTGTGTAAATCTTATGTCTACCTAGAAAGGATCAAATCCTTTGTAAGGTAAAGCAGGTCCCATACATGTATTTCCACTGTGTATTTAGCTGTTTACCAGCAATGGGACACCTAAAACAGATCTACTGAAAATGCAGATCCTACACAAATAAACAAATTCCTTCATAAGGGTCTAGCTGATATCTCTAATGTCAAAATGGTTAAGTTGTAAAGTGTTTTGCTCTACCATGAGATAGTACATTTTGTGGATGACTGAATATATCCATGGAAACCAGACTAAGGAAAATAATCAAAGAGCGCCTGCCCCATTACTCTGGTAAAGTGATTTGTAAAATGAAAAAAGGTCTGAGGCACAATTCTTTTCAAAATATAATACTGAAAATAAACATCAATACTGTTGCAGTTTATTTTGCAAGTGCACAGGCGTATATTGGAAGTTTTGTAATAAAAATTTACAGTTTGGTGCCATTTATCTTTAAGGTTACTTCAAAACAGCTGGCCGGGATGAAAACATGTTTAGACGTCACTAAAATGAGTGTGTTAAAGTCAATGAACTAAAAGCAGAAGTTTAATCTGCGTATATTTTGTTTCCCTGGTTCCCCCATTTCCCATCATAAAAATGCTAATGTAATTTTTAAAAATGTCTCCGTTTTCATTATATACCTTTGAGGCACAATTCTTTTCAAAATATAATACAGAAAATAAACATCAATACTGTTGCAGTCTATTTTGCAAGTGCACAGGCGTATATTGGAAGTTTTGTAATAAAAATTTACAGTTTGGTGCCATTTATCTTTAAGGTTACTTCAAAACAGCTGGCCGGGATGAAAACATGTTTAGACGTCACTAAAATGAGTGTGTTAAAGTCAATGAACTAAAAGCAGAAGTTTAATCTGCGTATATTTTGTTTCCCTGGTTCCCCCATTTCCCATCATAAAAATGCTAATGTAAGTTTTAAAAATGTCTCCGTTTTCATTATATACCTTTTTTTAGACCCAGTGCTCTGTTTCAAATGCCAGTAAATGCAAAGACATAACCCTTAGAGGTCTGTGCAGACAGTATGGCTACTTGATGATTTGCACAATCACAAGCAGCTTAACTTGTCTTCAATAAGACACAGAAGTTGAATCCAAAGCACTTTCACTTCAGTTAAGTCCAGTACAAAGGATGTTTTTCCAGTATTTTGAAGTGTAAAAAGACAATGACCTCCCTAAGCCCTGTTTCTCCATGGAAAGTAAAACTAAACTGAGCAGTAGAGTGAGAGGCAGAGAGTATCTAGCTAGGGACTGTATTAACTAGCACAAAACAGAAGGGGGAACAAGAGAACATAACAAGCGCAATAGACAAAAGACTGGCTGTTGTGGCGGCACACCCAGTGATGTCATCACTGGGTTTCTGTGTTTCTCTATGTAATGCAGGTCGATCATGGCTAGTGGGAAGGGCCAGCATTGTGCTATACATGGCTTCCTGAAAACATGGCACCCTGCCTCAATCCTTCTCACAAGTGCCCTCATCTACCTCATCTTAGCAATGCTCCAAGTGGCAAAGGTATGCTCCTACCAGAGCACA